CATTTAAACCGCAATGAGACTATCACTTTAGGATGGAGAGAGTATGTAAAAATAACTAAAATGGTCATCTTCAGTAACTTCAGCCAAAACAGCCAGAAAAGTAACTTCAACTTTACTTTTTCTGCATATTACACAACTCAGCACGTGAAAGTAAAAATTACATGTTTGGTAAAAAAGTTGGCTGCACTAATAAAACAAAAAACAATGCTGTCAAACGACCTCTAAACTTAACACTAGGAGATAAATGTGCGTTAAAACTCTGACCATAACCCACATTTATCTCCTAGCTAGTACGACTAGTAGTACTTTTTGGTGATATGATGGACTGATCGTTAGCATTTATATATTAAATATTTAAATCATGAAAATTTGTCATGATTCCACATATTATTGTACCCCGGTGTATCAAGTAAGAAAAGATTTTCGTGGAATCTATAAATTTAAATTTATGATATTTTGAAAATGCTGAATTATGAGAATCCATACAATTTGTTTTTTTTTATATCATCAAACGGGACTCTATTCATATCAAAGGATTCAGGATCATTACATCAAACAAAAGGAAAAAAAACTGACACTAACTGAAACTTCAACAACTACGACTGTAACCCTATGGTGAGACTTTGAGACAGTCACCCCTGAGAGAGCAACACGAATCGCTAACCATGTAGTGGGCTTGACACAGCCAAACCTATTCAAAAAAGAGAGGCAAAAAACTCAAACAAACTGTCAAAACCAACAACAAAAGTGGACATAAGAAAACAAATAACAAACAGATAAAAACTACAAGAAAAGCTTTCACGAACTCTAGCACCTCGTGCATCCCATGGTGGTGGTTTAGGAGGAGGTCTTACCATCGGTACCATGCTAATTGATACTCCGTGACCTTTGTTTGCCAAAGGCCATTCATCAATCCTCCGTCCCTGCATAACCAAACTCATCCCTGCTTCATGCAACCAGAGTAAACGGATAGGCGGCGCCGATCTTCTCCAACAACGACAGCAATACATCATCCTCGAACCTTGACCACAACGCCGATCTCCTCGAGCCATGACAGCAAATCCGCCCTTCGAGTATGAAGCACAAACAACAGCAGCCGTCCTTTGATTAAAATCGAAGATGGAAATAGCGACCGTCCTTCGATTAAAATCGAAGGCGGAAAAAGCGGCCGTCCTTTGATTAAAATCGAAGACGAAAAAAAAACTTCAAGCGGCCGAAGCCCTATAGAGAAGCAATCCGGAGTAATACTAGTTAAGGGAGTTGTACATTTAAAAGTAAAGACTAATTAATGTCAGCAACTAGAATCCATACAATTTGTTAAATACAGAGTTTAGCATTTATTTTTAGCTATTCTCCAAAAAGTAACATATTATTGTTACTTTTTCCGAGTCTTCAAAAGGGAATTAAAGTTTTGCTATTCTCCAAAAATCCATACAATTTGTTAATTTTCATATATTACACGATTTGTAAACTATACTTTGGTCCGGTTCCAAGCCTCCAGTGAATTAGCAAAGGTTGTGAAAGTCCGAAGGCACTAATCAACGTAATGATATAAATGTAATTTAAATAATTAAATCATACTTCGGTCTGGTTAGCTTAGATGCCGGTTTTTATTTTATGAGAACCGATCATGACATTGTTTAGAACCGGTACGGTCCGGTTCGACACAAAAAATATGAAATATGTTTCAAATCCCGTTTTTTGGTCCAATTAGGTATTTTCCTAAATTATTGGGAATCAAATGGGCGCGGAGGCCAAAACAGGAGCATTTACAGCTTTACTAATACGTAGTATTTATTTAACAATATTTCCTTAAATAGCTCTACCAATCGGTCATAGTTAATGGAGCCACTTAATATCATTCTTTAATTGCAGCCATCCATTAATTCAAAAGTCAGATTTCATTTTCATTTCTCTCATAAGACTTTCTCTAATTAGAACCGCACTTTTTTTTCTTTTCTCTACTCCAGTTTGGGGGAGGGAGGCTGGGGGAGCCTTGAGTAATTAGAGTTGAAACTCACTCCATTGGGTTTCAAACCCTAATGTGCCTAGCGGGATTCGAACTCGAGACCTCCCACTAGGCACGGTAACCGCAATATATATACATACATATTTATAAATTTAGTTATATTATTTGGTTCGCATTAAAAAAAAGTTCTTAAGGTAAAAATAAGAAATAATTTTGATCACGAAAAATAGATAAATCATACGTAGTATTAAACTTTCAAGTTTAAAAATGTCATCGCATTATTATAATTTTAAGGAACTTTTAATTAAAATAAGTAACAAAAGTTTTACAGAAAATGTGCATTTGAGCATTTGAAACTTTGAAAGTATGACTATATGTTATTATAGAAAATAAATTGCGTGTAACTCACCGGGAATTGATTTGCATTTTTTAGTTTTGTATTGTCCTAGAATTATCTTCATATTTAATATTCACATCCTCAACTCAAATTACTCTTGATCTTTTACTTTATATATCAATTTTTTTTATCAAATTTAAATTTTCTTGGTCAGATTTTGTATCGATTTTAATGTAGTTTCTGAATATGTAAATTTTATTTACTAAAATTAATCCGAGTGTGAACATGGATCAAATTGTTTTATCGTCAGTCAAACATCGTAAACCGAACTATGAAGATAAATATAGGACGGAAAGAGTACCAATAATCCATGGAACCCACCAACACTCCAACAGCAAGCTTAAACGTGTGAAACTTCTACAAAAAAACGTCAAATCCAGAAAGCCGCAAAGAGTAGGACATTGGTACAAACTTGACACATAATGATCGAGTTTGACAAAAATCATAAGTATTTTTTATATGGCACTGTGTCTTGCTGTTGACGAAGTCATGAAATTAAACGACATTGACACGAAATATAGCTCGAATTTGGCATAACTACTCCACATAACCTATGAGTTTTAACGAATCTGAGTTATAGATCGTGTCAAAATCACGTCGATCATTAATTATGTTATTACTTCTGGTTAACCCAGGCGGTTCATAGATGTCCAGTTTCATTTTGTATCATTTTGTAATGTCCAGTTTCATTCTAGAATTTCTTTTTCTAAAAGAGAAAATGTAGCAAACTTTACCATCAGAGTTAGTAAAAAACGTTTTTGAATCATACTAAATTAAAATTTCAAACACGTGAAACTCATAATAAAATTGTCTTTACCACGGAGTACTTTTTTTTGAAGCCCTGTCGATCTATGTGCATTTGAGATTTTAACTTTTGGCACCATTTTCATTGGTCAAACAAACATTTAGTGAAGAGCATGTATACGTGTATATTGGAACCGGAAATCAAGAGATTTTTACATTTGATAAGTTAGGATACTTGTACAATTTGCCATTCTGAACCCTGGAAATTGTGAATATCAGTTTTCGGCTTAAAGTGGAGATTATTATTTCTCTTGTATTACGATTCACTAGTAACTCACCCGTGCGTATATTTTAGATATGCATTGTGGCAAATAATAAGACATATATAATTGATATATTTAATACACCCAAATTAATACTAATATAATTGATAAAAACAATAAATGCTTTGCATACATGTAAATTTTTTATTATGAAGAGAGTACTAAGCATTATATAAAAGCATGAACACATCCAAAATAAACACATCCAAAATAATCACCAGTACTATTACAATGTATCATTTTATTTGATGCAACCGTATTAGATGTTGTTGAACACTTCTTTGAATACAACATTTTGAGTCTTGTTTGTGGTTTCTTTATCTTCATCACATATTAAAATACATTAAATATTTCTCTTAATTGCGAAAATGCATCCTTCGCTAAAGATCCCGAACTATTTCCTAACAACCTGATCTGGTATATACTGGTATATACGCATAAATCTTTGATCCCTGGATATAATAATAACAACCCAAAATCAGTACAAACTAAAGGAGCGACAACAAAAGTAAACAAACTTAAATTTTATAACCTCCTCATCATGAAAGACGACCTCCAAAGAGGGCGGGAAGCCATCATGCTGTGCGCAGGTTCACGGTACACTCTTGTGGCAATTGCTTTTATGGCCCAAGTTGTCTTACTTTGGTCGATATCCTGTATCACATAGATCACATACCCACCATAGTAATTTAAGTGTATTACTTGTTTGCTATTTGACCTGAAACGGCGAACGGATGTGAGATATGCTACTGGAGCGGGCCTTTTATAGTTGAACGTATCAACAACAATAGGGTCCAATGGCATTACCCACTCCGATACACTATTCAAACCTCCCATTTGCACCAATCAAAATATTAAGGGAGATTTGGAGGTCATGTTCATTGCCCTATATTTCTCATTTTCATGTTAAAAATTGAGGATATATATGGCATGTCAGTGTGCATATATTCTGTGTGTTTTATTAATGCTTTTGACATATATATGCGGCTATGCGTACAAAAGAAAATGATTAAACTGGGAAACTTGAAATTTATACTCAACCCGAGACGATTCAAGACAGTGTTAGATCCACAACCATTAAAAGAAGTTAGAATGAACAGAAAAATATTGAATTATAAGTTTATAACAATGATAACATTTATAAATAGTATTATCATTGTTTTATTTTCATATGATTCATTCACTCAATCACTCTCATGCATTTTGAGAATGTTTGAACTTATTCTCTTAGTAAAAAGAAATAAAGCTTATTTGAGAATAAAACATACTCGGTCGTTTTAATTTTTCATTTTGAATGTTTTAATTAAGTCCAATGTTGAACAATCTCTCTAGAGTATATAGTACGGAGTATATTATATTAAAACATAATTTAATATTAATCATTATCCCTTATCAGTTAGCTAAAGTGTAGCACCTATGCTAGTCATACGGTATTAGCCTATTATCATGGTACGCACTATTAGATAGCTAGGTTAGTTATACATGTTTATCCATTAGCCTATAGCTTCGTATAAGTGTATATAAATACATTGTATCTGTACTCTAATTATTCATTCAATACACACAATCATATTACTTTACATGGTATCAAGAGCCTCTCTCTAACGAGCCATTTTTTTTTCCTGAAGATTTCACCATGGTCATCACCGAATCCACCTCTGTTATCTCCATTACTGCCTCCACTCACTTTCCGATCAAACTAACGCCAACCAATTTTCCAGTTTGGAAGTGTCAAGTTCATGCTGCCCTTATTGGGTTAGGACTTGAAGAATATGTTGATGGCGGCATTACTGCTCCTGATCGGTTTCTTGACGTCGCCAAAACACAAATCAATCCTTGTTATACCATTTGGTATCGACAAGACAAGACAATTCTGAGTGCTCTCATTGGCAGCTGCTCGGATCCGATTCAACCCATTATTTCAACCTCCTCAACGGCGCACCAAGCGTGGGACAAACTGTCCACCACCTACGCCAGTACCTCTCGTGGGCGTATTATCTCGCTCAAAACGATGTTGTCCCGCACTACCAAGGGATCCCGTTCAGTCACAGATTATCTCGCCGAAATGCAAGCCATCGCTGATGCTCTCGCATTAGCTCAAAATCCTGTATCTGACGAGGATCTTGTTGTCAGTATTCTCAATGGCTTAGGATCTCAATTTCCGGATATTACATCAGCAATTCGTATCCGTGAGACCCCTCTTCCACTTGCACAATTGCAAACAATTTTGCTTGAACAGGAGACTAGAAATCTGGAACAAGCAGCATCCACTCAAGACATGTTACCTACGGTCCATGCCACTCAGTCTACATCTAGGCCAAATTTTAATGTTGACCGACGCACTAATTCAGGTAGCAATCATCGTGGGGGTCCCTCTCGACGTGGAAGGGGCTCTTTCACGCAGTCTTCATTCCGTGGCTCCAATCCGGTGATATGCCGCTTCTGTGAAAATTCTGGCCATGATGTCCGCCAGTGTCGCAAATTGCAAAGGTTTCTTCGAGATAATCATGTTCCCCATCCATCGAGTCCGTCCATTAATCATACAACGACATCTCCTGCTTCTGGACAACCATGGCTATTTGATAGTGGAGCCTCTCATCATGTCACGTCAGATGTTTCTACTCTTCCATCCTACATCCTACGTTGATTATGGCGGTCCCGATGCAGTTCAATTAGGTGATGGTAAGTCACTCTCTATTACTCACACAGGTACCACCGTATTACCCACAACCACCCGTCCGCTTTCCTTATCCAATATACTTTGTGTTCCTAGCCTTCATAAAAATCTTATTTCTGTTGCCAAACTTTGCAAAACTAATAATGTGTCTGTTGAATTTTTTCCTTCTCATTTTATTGTTAAGGATCGCAGCACGGGGGCGCCACTAATGCGAGGGGAGAATCATCATGATATTTATTATGCACCTGTTCCCAGTCCACCTCAAATTCATACGTCTCAAATAATGACTCAGTCCCATTGGCACCACATTCTGGGTCACCCGTCTAGTCGTACTTGTAATTATCTTCTCAATCAGAATAAAAGTTACATACCTTGTAACATAAAAAATATGTCCCATTGTATGTCCTGTTCTATTAATAAAAGTACCAAGTTGCCATTTTTTTCCAATACAATGTCTGCCAAACAACCACTAGAACTTATTTATTCTGATGTATGGAGTACTAGTACGCAATCTGTCAATGGATATTACTATTATGTGATTTTTGTTGGTTTTTTTACACGCTATACCTGGCTCTATCCACTCAAAAATAAATCTGAGGTGTCTGTCATTTTTCCTCAATTTCACCGCTTGGTTGAAAAATTCTTTAATCTCCCTATCATTTCTATATTTTCAGACAACGGTGGTGAATATATTAAACTCAAATCCTATCTTAATTCTCATGGAATTTCCCATTTCACCTCACCACCCCACACTCCTGAGCATAACGGCCTAGCGGAGCGTCGGCATCGTCATATTGTCGATACCGGTCTCGCTCTTCTACATTATTCGGGACTACCACTCACATACTGGTCCTATGCGTTCCAAACAGCAGTCTACCTAATCAACCGTCTTCCTACTCCCGTCCTTCAAAATGATAGTCCCTATTCTCGATTATACCGTGCTGCCCCGAATTACTCCAAACTGCAGCCTTTCGGTTGTACATGCTACCCGTGGCTCCGTCCCTATAATTCAAATAAGATTATGCCTAGGTCTCAGAGGTGTATTTTTGTTGGTTACTCCACTTCCCAATCTGCTTACTTATGTCTTGAACTGATATCGGGACGAATTTATGTCTCAAGGCATGTCAAGTTTATTCCAGATGAGTATCCATTTCGTTCCGAGTCAGGACGTTTGTCTCCCATGCAATCTATACCGTTGTCAATTTCTGGTAAAAAGGTGTATACCCCTTGCACTGGTGGCCTCCGTGTGTCCCCTTCCCCATGCTCATCAATTTCCCACCCCCTGACAAAACTTACCCACCACCAAATACAACCTCCACCTTGCCCAATCTCACCCAAGTGTCAACTCCTTCCCATCCTTCTATTCACACGCCACCCCAAACTCCCCCTCCCAATTATCACCCAGACACTCACACGCCTGCCACCCACCATACACCTCACCCACCACATTTAATTACCCCATCCCCATACACTACAACAAACAGTCAACTGCCAACTCCTTCCTCCACTACACCGACACCCACGGCAGTTCCATCTCAAATCACCCAACGTCCAACCCGCAACCGAAAACCCAATCCAAAATACCTTGGTGGTCCCTTTGTGAATACTATAGATGTGCACCCCGTTCTCCCTAATATTGAACCTACTGGTGTGAAGCAAGCATTATGTGACCCGAAATGGAAAGCTGCCATGGACGATGAGATAGCTGCTCTTCATCGAAATCATACCTGGACGTTGGTACCTCGCACCGGTCAACATCCTATTACTTGCAAATGGCTTTTTCGGGTAAAACGAAATGCGGATGGCAGTGTCTCTCGTTTTAAGGCTAGACTTGTGGCGCGTGGATTCCTCCAGCAACCTGGAAAAGATTACTTTGAGACTTTTAGCCCGGTGACTAAACCGGCTACCATTCGCATCATACTTGCTATTGCTCTATCCCGGAATTGGTCACTTCGACAGCTTGATGTAAATAACGCCTTCTTACACGATTCACTTACCGAAGAAGTGTACATGACTCAACCTCCCGGTTTTGTTGACCCTACCAAACCGCATCATGTGTGTAAATTACACAAAGCTTTATATGGGCTGAAACAGGCACCACGCGCATGGTACCTTGAACTCTCACGGTTTCTTTTTAGTGTTGGTTTTCGCAGGTCTCATGCAGATGCATCACTGTTTATCTATTCTCACGGCGGTGTCATTATTTATTTCCTAGTTTACGTGGATGATATTGTACTGACAGGAAATAATCCTATGGTCGTGGAAAAATTCATCCACCAACTTACCACTCGCATCTCCGTCAAAGATTTGGGGTCCCTTCATCATTTTCTTGGTGTGGAAGTTATACCCACTTCATCTGGTCTTCTTTTATCTCAGCGCCAATATATCATTCACATTCTGGAATCATGCATGATGATGGGAGCTAAGGAGGCAGTGACACCAATGTCATCCACATCGTCCTTATTTCTCAATGACGGCACACCCTCAACGGACTCCAGCAAGTACCGACGGGCCCTTGGTCTTCTCCAATATCTTGCTTTTACTAGACCAGATATTTCATTTGCTGTGAACCGCTTATCACAATACATGCATGCGCCAACACACACTCATTGGCAGGCGGTGAAGCGGGTTCTCCGGTATCTGAAAGGCACACTTAATTATGGATTATTCATTCGCCGCCATGACCCTCTAACACTTACTGCATTTTCGGATTCTGATTGGGGGGTATTCATGACGGCGGACGCTCCACCACGGCATATGCATTATATCTTGGCGGTAATATTATTTCCTGGAAATCAGCCAAGCAAAAGTGTGTTTCCCGTTCATCCACGAAAGCTGAATACCGCGCGGTTGCTAATGCCAGTGCAGAAATTCTTTGGGTACGAAATGTTCTCACTGAACTTGGTGTTTCATTATCTCATCCACCGCAGCTATACTGTGATAACCAAGGAACAACTTATGTGTGTGTTAATCCGGTTTTCCATTCCCGCATGAAGCACTTGGCCCTTGATTTCTTCTTTGTTCGTGAACTTATTGAACGGGGTGAACTTAATGTCCGTCACATCTCAACGAAGCTACAGATAGCTGATATTTTGACCAAACCACTGGGCCGACAATCATTTGAAACATTCAGGTCCAAGCTGGGAGTTTCTGACAGAACCTCCATCTTGCGGGGGCGTATTAAAACATAAATAATTTAATATTAATCATTATCCCTTATCAGTTAGCTAAAGTGTAGCACCTATGCTAGTCATACGGTATTAGCCTATTATCATGGTACGCACTATTAGATAGCTAGGTTAGTTATACATGTTTATCCATTAGCATATAGCTTCGTATAAGTGTATATAAATACATTGTATTGTACTCTAATTATTCATTCAATACACACAATCATATATGATAAATGTACTACACAATTAGTGTCTCACACACACACATATAATCTCAATCATATCCGTTTTGCACTTTTGTCATGACATTTTTGATATTTTAAAATCTGAAAATTGAAACAAGAAAAAGTTAACTCGAGCAAAAGAAAAAACAAGCGAACTTGCTTCACTAGACACTAGTAGTACGTGTAGTGGAGGTTGCTACGGTGCTTGGTATACCATATAATACATCCTTTCTTAAATAAATGCAATATATGGAATTTTACACTATTCACATATTCTATTTTGACTATGTAATGTATGAATATATTTTTATGTAAAAATATTGGTAAATTTGTATCATTATAAATTTTCAATATCTAATTTTTTTAATTTTTTTTACTAATATAAATTTATATATATTAATGGTTAAAGTTGTATTCGAAAGTGTGAAATGTTGACCATTACATTTTACATTAAATATAAATATCGAAGGATTCTGCAGGGCACAACGTCACAATTTGAGTGTTCGTACAACGTAAAGTAAAAGTTGAAAAACATTAAAACTAATTCTATACATTGAACTATTGAAGTGAATTCAATGTCTTGGACATACAAAATGTTCTGTAAATAAATAAAAACATAATAATATTCCGTGATTAAGAATCAAGATTCTTTAATGCATTAAGAATAAAGATTTCATTATATATTTAATTCATGAATGATGATATACGTAGTATATCATACTCCGTATATACTACGTAATAATATCTGATCTACTCCGTACTTTGCTGGTCTGGTCTGGTCTGTTTAAGTCTGGTCTGGTCTGTTTAAGTCTGGTCTGGTCTGAACTGGTCTGGTAAACGTCTGGTCTCTGTGTATTTTATAACTACGGAAGTCTGGTCTGGTCTGTTTAAGTCTGGTCTGGTCTGTTTAAGTCTGGTCTGATCTGGTCTGTTTAAGTCTGGTCTGGTCTGGGACTGAAAACAGTCCAAAAGAAAACATCCTAAGTAACAGATGTCAAGGTAAATTATTAAGGTCGATAAGTTCCTTAATTAGAAGGTAAATTATTAAGGTCGATAAGTTCCTTAATTAGATGTTTTCCTTTGGATTATTTTCAGTCCCAGACTCACCAGATTTAAACAACTTCCGTAGTTATAAAATTCACAAGATTTAAACAACTTCCGTAATTATAAAATTCACAGAGACCAGATGTTTGATCTAGACCAGATGTTTACTAGATCAGACCACATCTTTACGTAAATGTAAAAAAAGTGGCTTTTAAAGACCAACAAACCAGCAATAGTATACTACCCTACAAATTGTGAAAATAAAATGAAACCCTAACCACTATGCCCGGCTTTTAGTAACACGATAAAAATGAAACAAATCAAATCCAAGTAACTAACAAAAGCGCCTATAATACAAAAACTCGAATGTAGACTTTTTGTAAAAATTGAAACCAAAATGCAATTACGTACTGCTGGACCAATATGCAAACAGTAACACTTCATTAAAAAGGACATCATTTTACACGAATACCGGAAATGAAACACGTAATGAAACACCACTTTTAAAATTAAAAGCTGGCATCAGGAGCAATTAGCTAGTTTAAACACTCCCTGATATGCTTTAAGCTCAAAAAATCTGAAAAAGTAAATATAATCATCACATAATTTCACAACCATATACGTAATACTCCTATAATAAATAGTCGAACCAGATATATGGTGCACCCCCACCTTCTTTATCAGTAGATTATGTACATAATTCTCCATGTACTTGGCCTTGTTCAATCTTGTTACTTAGGTCAACAGATCGTTGACCCAACCGAGGTCAATCCCAGTCAACCCTCCGTCATTGTTGTATTTCCCTTCACCACCGTTGCAGTTGATTCTCCCACCGGGCAAGTCCGAATTACAACTCTTCAAATTTTTGTTGTAATAATCCGCGCGGTCAATAGTGGAGTTGACACCGACGTTGACCGACGGAATATTCTCATTGAGATTGGCTTTTCTGTTTATATTCCTGCTTACCGTTACCTGTTTGGCCAGTTCGGTCAAAGCATTTTTGTAATTCAGCATCGCAA